TTGCACACATACAGTAAATGAACAGTTGACTAATTCTTGATTTAACATAAGAAAAATGGAATTTTTATTATGGCCGAAGCTCCATGAGATGCTGCTTTACTACCAGAGTGAAGCACATTTGGGTTGTGAGTATTGAATGTGAGTTTTTTAAAAAGAGGAACCTGTGGCTGCGGTGATGGTGAGGGGGTGGAGGTCGGGGTTAAACGGTTCGCTGAGGGTCAGGGTCAGTCTGAAGGGCTGTCCTCGCCTCACCACCAGCTCCTGGACGCTGATTTCATGGGTGCGGTGTTCTCTGTTGTTGGCCGCACTGTGGAGGTCCACTCCTCTAAAAACTGGAAAAATATATAGATTTTTTTTTAAACAAATAAAAACAGACGAGGAATTTCATTGGTTGATGTTTCGGAGCTTAGATTTAATCAAAACTAAATTGTGGATTTAAGATTTGAAAGTTCTTCCACAGTAAAGGCCAGAGTCTGCTCTGATTGGTCGGCTAAAGTGGCCGGATCAGGCTCCTCCAATCCAGAGCAGCTCTGCTGAAGTTTGACTACTTTTAAAGTTTCACTGGATGAAAAATGAGTTGATCTTTTTGATTTTTTAACCCGGTATTCATTCTGAGCAGAGATTTCGCTGTTGTTTTGAGTCTATTTTTCTCGATTCAGTTTTAAAAACATGAATTTTATATATTTATTTTACCCTTCAGATTTCCACAAAATAAAAAAAAATAGTTTGAGACAAATTATGTTCATGAAATAAACCAAATAATTGTTTTTTTTTCAAGATTACACCCTTCAGATTTTAGGGTTGATTTCTCCAAAATTAAAAAAAATTGTTTAAACCAAATTATGTTCACGAAATAAACCAAATATTTTTTATTTCTTAGATTACACTTAAATGGTGTCTAATTGTGAATAATTTCCATCAGTTAGGATCTTTTAAATGTTCTTGAAAAGCCAACTTTCACTTGTTAGAAGGATCTTTGTCCTTATTATGCAACCTGTTCATAAACCCTGATATCTGAACGCCTTCACACAGATTCGGAGGGAGTGGAAGGCCCTTGTTTGATTTCTCCCACTCAGACAATGGCTCCCATGACAAATGGCAGCATAGTTCAGTGACAGACGCCAGGGCGAGGTGGTGGAGCGCAAACTTAGTCACCAACGGGTCACTGGGATCGGACTGAAGAATATGAAGCGTGCCGCGACAGGACGGAGAAAAAAAACGCCCCCCTGGACAGTTCGTGGGAAAGTTTCTGTCACGCTCGAACCTTTTTCGTGGGGAAAAACCGAGTCTCCAATCGAGATGACCCCAGAAAGTAAAGGGTTTTACCTCGAAAACCTGAAGCAATGCCTCAAAAAGTCAAGGATAGTTGCTTTTCTTTTTTGCGCAAAGTCAGCCGTTTGTGGCAAAAGTTGGGTTCCTCACTTGGTTTGAGTTAGTTAATGAGTCAAAAGTTTGGGTTAGATGCTTCACGCTTTGCGGAAAAATCCTGAATTATAGCAAATTATTGTTTTATAATCACACAAAACCTGAAGTCATGATGCTTTATGGAGCAAATCTCACACTTTTGTATCTCAGTATCATTGTACAAGTTATTGAGATTGCAAAAAGTTTGTATCAATTGCGTTTTTTGACGTTTTTTTAAAATAAATGATGGAATAGATAAATAACATGTTTAAGGATAACGGGATGCAGAGCATTCAAAATGAAAAAAACGATTACAATTAAGATTTTACGGTGTTTTATCGGATTTCAGGCATCTATTTATTCTTATGTATTTTAATCATGGACAGCTAACACTTTGGAATGATTCTTGAATAATCTTTGAAAATGCAGTGTAATGCAGTGCTTTGTCCTTGCTGACTTTATTCCAGCTTGTGGGGACAAGTCGGAGAACTTATGATGTGCAGCTCTTTGTGCTGTGTAAATGAATAGAAATCCACCAGAAAGGCTGGATTTTTTTCTTTAAAAATGAAAGCTCTTTGCTCAATTAAAGACTTTCTACTGGTGTTTTAATCTTAACATCTACAACAACAAAGAGAACAAAAGGCCATTAACAGGGTCTAATCAGCATCTGAAGGAGTTTCCAACTTGTTATAAAATTAATTTTAAGAAAACCACCTCTGAAAAACATAGTTTCTGGAACCCAGAGTGTAGAAAAACGTCTGTACTTACCTGCCGCCATCTCTTCAGAACGTTGCTTCCTGATGTAAAAACAGATAAATGCTCTCTTATAGGCAGGCAGCAGCACTCTGACAGGTGACCCGGCTCAGGTGGATTTTAAACGTGTCACACCCAGCCACTCCTCCCTGTACCACGCAGTGTCGCAACCTCGATGACAGACAAACGGGCATCCACGATGGAAAGTTAAAGCCCAGAGAAAAAGAATTGCTCATAAACGGCTCCTGGCCTGACATGTACAGGAAAAAAAATAAACGTACTAGCTTAAACGAACACTTGTTTATTCATTTTATTATCCAGAACATGTGGATGTACTCTTAAAAACTCCTACCCTGACCTGAGAGGACCTTTGACCGCCTCCAGCTGATCCCTGATTGGTCAAAAAGGTGTGACACATGGTTATGATCACCGGCCCTGAAAGAGGCGAAATTATCAGAGCATGATGTAATTTTTTTTTAAAAAGGAGAAAAAAGGAATTTTTCTTTATGTGTCTCCTCCCTTTAACTTCATAGAAAAATGGTGAGTTTCTGTATTTCATCATCTTTAAGAATGCGTCCTAAACATTAAAGAGACTCTGTGGACGCCCCTTTTGCTTTTTCATGAGATCGAGACAAAAATCAAGTTAATGAGATAAAAATTCAGTTATTAAATATAATTATGATATTGTGAATTACAAATGTATCAGATATCAGTGCTCACCTGAGTTTAATCAATAAAGTTCAACGTCCACCTCACAATCTATCTAAAAATGTAGGTTCTTTTTTATGTTTCCACTAACTTTTTAACTATTTTTACTTTCATTTAATAATTTCCACTTTCCTATCTTATCAATCTTGTGTGCAAATGTTGACATTTTAACTTTTTTTCCTCATAGTTTGACATTTCCAGGCTGTGAGACTGGCCTCTGGGTTTTTCCTGTTTTTAACCACAATAGTTCCCTTTTTTTAAGTTTACACTATAAGAAATGAAGCAAATTTGTTTGAACTTTGACAAAAAACTACTTATAGAGTCAAAACAAAGCTTCCATCCAGTAAGGATGAACGAGTTCTCGGCTCCGCCATCTTGTGTGTCATAACTCGGGATTTTGACCTAAATCTGGGTTGTTTTGATGTTTGACTGTCAGAGATGGCCTTCAACAAGATCAAAACTCCAGGGCCTGATGTCGATGAGCTCACTTTCAATGGAAGCCACACCCTGTTTGCATGCAGTTGGGGATGGGTGGATGACATCTGAGTTTGAACCCGTCTTATTGGGGCCTTTTCATGCAACACCGGAGTTCCTCGTTGTGTCATGAATCACTAAAATCAGTCCAGGAAACTGGGCCTGTGTGGGAAGATAGTTTGGCTGAGTTTTCTTCTGTCGCCTATGAGTCAAACGGTATCACATTGTGGACAAAATTAAAAGCTAGCAGCAATAGAGGCTAAATGATGACATCCTATTAAGGTAAGATGCCTTAGAAGGACTTAAAAATCCTGATCATCATAAACGGCTTAACATATTTGTCCTGATGAAAACCAGTTTTAAAGTTAGAATGGAGGGAATTCAGGGAGTTAAGCCTCTTTAATCTCTAAATAAAGTTCAATTTAGAGCACTGAAAAAAAAAAGCACAGAATGGAAACGTCAGAGTTTTATTTGATTTAAAAGCTTCACAGCTGCTCCTCCTGCAGCGCTCCGTTTGAATTTTTCATGACTTGGCAGGAGCAAACAGAAAAGCAGAGGTCGGAAAAGTGCGTTTGGAGGCTTTTTTAAAACATTCTGCTGGATGAGGGAGTGGCCAAAGTCATTCTGATGCGCATTACTGTCCACATTTATTACTCAGCCTGGTCCTGGCAACTCAAGCTGAACCAGTTTTTAGCATCCATCTTTCTCTGAGTTGTTCTTATTGTGAGTCTATCGAGGTCTGGCCTCTTTTTTCCTGGTTTTTCCGTTA